CCCTTGTATAGCTTTTTTTTTGTAAAATCCCCCCCCCCCCCCCCCCCTCAAGTATATAATTCTCTTCCTTTGTCTCCTTTCCATCAACTAGTTTTACCTTCTCTTCATTTAATTTTGAATGGAATCTGAACACGATGCATAAAAAAATACATATACTCATTCGTTTTGGGTTTTCTGCAGGTTATATGCTCACTTTGTGATAAAGAGCAAGAGGTGAGTGGTGTTTATGCTGTCCTGCCCTTTACTCTGTTATGAGGTCACAGTTTGAAGGATGTTTGCTTGAGCATGACAGTTTATTGATCAAGAACTCAAAGAGAACCGAGTTCTCTTGGTTTGATGTTTGCTATTCTAGCCAAGCAGCTTGCATTCTGACTAGTTATCACTGATGTTCTCTACCAGGTTCGGCAAGTTTGCATCAATTGCGGTGTGTGCATGGGGAGATATTTCTGTGAAACGTGTAAGCTATTTGATGATGATGTAAGTTTTAATTCTCCTCTCTTAAGTTATTCACATGAAACTGCTTAATACACACTTTGAATTCAAGGAGTTGATGATAGTAACAAGGAAACAGCCTCTCTACCTCCACGAGGTAGTGGCAAGGTCTGCGTACAATTTACCCTCCCCAGACCCCACCTAGTGGGATCTCACTGGGCATGTTGTTGTTGTTGTTGATGATAGTAACAAGGAAATGCAGCTGTAAGTGAAATATGTAATGTGCTGACCAACCTCTTCTCCACTTTTCATGTTGCAGACATCCAAAAGACAGTATCACTGCAATGGTTGTGGAATATGCAGGTATTGTTACTTAGCTGAAATTCCAATGCCTTCCCCATTCTCCATAACATTTTCTCTCTCTCTCATTTCTGTTGAGCTTCTGATAGAGCGAAAAACGTAACTAAAGAAAAGGAGATAACACCTTTGCTAACATCTTCCATGCGTAATAACAAAAAGACCTGCTCTGCAATTCAATACCAATTCATCTGAAATGTTCCATATCATACTTTGTGTATACATTTGATGTTTAAACTCTGTATTGATTCTGATGTTGGTGTTCTATTTGTATTATTTTTATGTTTCTAGGATTGGTGGGATGGAGAACTTCTTCCACTGTCCCAAATGCAGTAAGTCTCAGTGTCATCCCTTTGTTTATCATAGGCTCATGTTTGTGCATTACTCCGTATTCTCTTTTGGAATTTCATTTTTCTTACTATGTGGTGGTTGTGTGATACAGGATGTTGTTATTCAGTTCTATTGAGGAACAGCCACCCCTGTGTAGAGGGGGCAATGCATCATGACTGTCCTGTTTGTTTTGAGGTATGGATTGCAATAAAAAATTCTCCCCAGTTGTTTTTCCCTTGTTTAAACCTTTTCTGTGATGTTGCAACCGAATGAATTGAGAATGGTTATATGCAGTATCTCTTTGAGTCGATAAATGATGTAACAGTCATGCCTTGTGGCCACACTATTCATAAGAACTGCTTGAAGGAGATGCAGGAACACTACCAGTAAGTTATTGTTAGTTGTTCCCTATTTTCAACAAGTGCAGGTTGTCTATATAACTGATCTGACTTTTAACTTTGCAACAGATATGCTTGTCCTCTCTGCTCTAAGTCGGTATGTGATATGTCAAAGGTCTGGGAGAAATTTGACATGGAGATTGCTGCAACACCAATGCCCGAACCTTATCAAGACAAGAAGGTGAGTGTATTTTCAGAACTGTTCTTATTGCTGCCTCAAAGTGCCATACGAGCTTCAAGAAGTAAATGAAATTTGTGATATTGCAGGTTTGGATCCTTTGTAACGATTGTGGAATCACCTCAGAAGTGCAATTTCACTTTGTGGCCCAGAAATGTCCATGTTGCAAATCTTACAACACCCGCCAAACAAGAGGCAGATAAAAGGACCAAATATCAATAGCCAGTCTGGCTTTCAAGTGAAAATGATCCCACACCCTATGTGGCTAGGGTGGTACCTCTGAGCGGGAATGACTGGGCTTTACAAAAGCTAAGCTTATAGAAGAAATGATGGAAGGAAGGGGTACTATATGATCCTGCTTGTAGCACTTCTGGGGTTATCGTGTTTTCGCGTTTCTTCAGTTTATTTATCTTCAATGTTCAGTATGTGTGTTTTATATGCCAGTGTAATGTAATTTTGAAGACACTGATTATTTGTTCAGTGCTAGCACAAATATTGTTGGTATGCGTGATTCAATCCTGTATAGCACAGAGCAAGTAGAACTGTCGCATGTCAGGTGGCTGAGACTTGATGTGTTGTGTGATATTGTATCTTCCAGTTAATTACTCATGTGAAGTTAAATTTGTATTATTATTTCGTATTTAAAGAGTACTATAGTTCTTTAAAAAAAATGAAGGTGCCTAATTAAATTTATCCCGACTATGCATTCTTGTCGTTTGTTTGGGAACTAGTTATTTCATAATTATCCTGTGGTTAGTTATTCTGGGATAACTTATCCTATCCTGTATATGGAATAACGTATCTCATCACTATGGTATAAATGGTGGGATAAATTATTCCAAACATGTCAACCAAATAAGACGCCAAACTTTTATTCCAGGACTATATATTCTTATACCTCACACCATTCGACTCTAGAGTGCAAGGAATTGAGACAAAGAAAGAAAAAAGCTAGTCCCTTTCATTTTTCTAACGTGCAGTATGCCTTTTCTTTTTTCTGAGTTAAAGTGATAGATGAAAAGAACAGTTACCTGACTAGATGAGTGACCCTTGTCAACATTTACTCTCCCCAAGTTACTTAAATTGGTAACATCACAAAAAGGTAAAAAAAGAAAAAGGAAACATAGATAAGATACAGGTATAAAGATACTGCATAGGCCATTAGTGTGCCTTCAGGCTTCACATACAGTACAGTATAGCACACGTTCCCAACATTACCTCAATCTCCCAAAACAGTGTTCTCATGGTATTAAAATTAAACCCGAAGGGACCTCTCTAAAGTGAGGACGTTTCGACTAGTTAGAATAATCAAACATGTGTGTGTTTTTATGGAATATATAGTATCAGCATTGTTTGCAAGTAACGTCAATACAGGCACATCATTGCGAGACTGCAGAGTAGAAACAGAACTGGTGTAGTGCTAATCTAAGAGTTGAAGGAACAAGACACTATTGTGTCAACTGGTGTAGTTCAATCTGAAGAAATAAAAAGGATTTACACAAACTACAACAGTAATAACTATGCCTCAATCCCAAACAAGTTAGGATCGGCTCCATGAATCATCACATCACTATCAATGTCGCTCTATGTAAGCTCATCTCAAATACAAAACAAACTAAAAGGTATCGCAAGTTCTGTATTTTCTACTGACATTCAAATCTTCACAGAACAACAAGATCCCCAGAAAACATAGGGGTCTAGATGTACTAACATGACTGAAACATATTCCCAACATATCTATCAAGTACATTCAAGAAAAAGACAAGTTGAGGATCAAAGAAATGAGACCTAGGATTATGGAAGCAATTGGTTGAGGGGTATTCAAAGAACAATAAAAACAGAAACCTCAAGAGGCTATGTTATCTTCACCGACTAAAAGACCAAATCAACATTTACTAGCATCGATAAAGTCTAAATCACAATCAAGAAAGCATATCATGACTAACACATTCACATAAGCAGAGAACAAACAGATTCTGTTAGCGGTAAACAACGAGGACAGCAATGAGTAGTTACAAAACATTTTTATTCATACAAAACAGAAGTAATGTATGTAGTCATAAACATTTGTATTTATCAAACTTTGACAGGTAATATCAGCTTGGTGAGAAACCAAAATTTGGGGAGCCACAAGGATGGGCTACAACCCTTCTAGTTAAGTTTCTTATCCTTTTTTTTTTTGAGATTATACTCCACTATTACATAACAAATTCAGAACTATATAAAGCAAAATTCGCAGTTTGCGACCGTTAACCACTAAGACCATGAGAAAGGAAAGACAGTTCACACAAGTAGCAATACATGATCTGATCACCCATGGCTGCACAAAGATGCACAAAAAAACAGCTCTTAGTAAACAGATGACCCGGGTGTCTAGTTGTTAACCAGTGCGGCGGTTTCATCAATCATGGGCTTAGTAGCTACAGCAGTGCAATTCCGGCATCCTATGTAACGATGAACAAGCCGGTGTCAAAAACTTCATCACGGCTGTTTGGCTTAATAGTGCTTTCAGAATGATTATTGACTTTCTTCTCCATCTCCTCATCAATTAAAATCGCCTCAGACCGACAATCCAAGCTGCAAAAAGCTTTCTCACCTCTGCAAAACACAATACAAATTTTCACTATCAAAATCATCAAGTCATTAGAACTGTTAGAATTGCAGTGAATATGAACAGACCTGTACATGTAAATATCTTTTCCATCCAGCCTCTTCTTGCAAGAGGAACAGAAGCGCAAAAAATCGCTTGAAGGAAATGAAGTGAGGACCTCTGAGCTGTCCGTCACCTCAGGCAGCACGGTTTTCTCATTAGCATTCTTACAAAAATTGGGTAACTCATTGTTGTGACATTCTAAAATGCAGTCACAAAAGATATGAGTTACTTTGGCATTGGGTCCACGGGTTCTCACACAGGTATAGTCCTCAGAAAGTTCAATGTCACTAGCTGAAATAGAACCAACTAAGCTAGTGTTAGAGCCAACAGGTGTGGGTATAGGACTCAATTTCGCACCACCTGCAGGATTGCCCAACTTTGAGCAACCTCTAACACATTTAGTATGTGAAACCACTGGATTTATTGCATTTTCAGAACCAAAAGCCACAGTACGGTTCGCCAAGCTTGCGAAACGTGAGCTAGACCTTCCAGAGTCTAGAGAACAAGAACGAAAATTTCTGGATAACTCATGCTCCGACAGGGCATCTCCAATTCCAAAGACAACATCAGAACTTCCCTTTCGAAGATTGGAGCTTTTGGACAAAGTATGAGGAAAAATCGAGATATTCTTAGGGAGTGACTTAGGTTCCTCAAGAGAATCATCAACACAGCTCTGAAAATCATGTGTTTTGATCCTCATTTGTGTGCCAAAAAGAATATTTTTACTATCGGATGATCGAAAAACTTTCCCCGATTGTTTCATTTCATCATCAAGAGAATCTACAATGCCAAGGCCTACTTTAGTACAACCCCATGTCTTGTTAGCCCCAGCCCCCTCACTAGTTGATGACCTAAAGGGGTTTCCCAAATTTGAAAAGACCCTAAAATCCAGTGGAGAAGTAGGACTTCTCACTGAATCAGATTCTGAACCCTTAGGATTAAGCCCAACAAACACACCAGGAACATTAAAAAAGGAATTACTTTTATGTTTCCTAACCAAAACATCAGATTGAAAATAAGAATCTGAGATACCATCAGACATCAAATGCCCCATTGTGTGAACTTTCTGGTGTGATCTGGTCCTCTTCTTCAGCATTATCCTTAAACCCTCAGCCCTAAAAGTCCACCAACACCTGCATCAAGATCCAACATGTTTTGCCTTAGTACTAAATAAATCATCAAGAATGTCAATTTTATAAAAAGAAACCCCAAATGAGAAATCCATCAAAACATCTAAAGAACAACTACATTAAAGCTTGCATTTTTAAAGGGGTTAGAAGGAAGAGGATAAATGCACAAAAAACAATTCAAGAATCCATAAAACCCACATAAATTATTATAGGGGAAAACTTTTTCTCAAGAAAAATAAATAGTTAGAAATAACAAAAAATAGTCAAAATCAATGAACACCAAGAGTCAACAAGAGAAAGACCTGCAAATGTAGATTACGGCCAGAACAAAAAGTTTGAATTTTTTTTTAAAAAAAACCACCATTGACATCTCCAAAAAAAATGATTAAACCCACATAAACCCCATTTTCAAGATTTCAACTTTGGTCATGCATCACACAAGAATCTTGAAAATCAAAAATCAAAGATGGGGTTTCATTTTCTTGATGGATTTTCAATTATTTTTTTTACTTTTTTCCTTTCAAGGGACTCACAAAGAGGGAAAACCACCTGGTAGATTAGTTCCAGAAGCTTCAAAGATGGGAGAATTTAGTTTGTGCGAGAAGAAGTATAAATGAAAAGAGAAGAACTCTTTCCCTTTATCTCTCACAGTAGTGTGTGTGTGTGTGTGTGTGTGTGGCTTCTTCAGTACATCTTTTTCTTTCTCTTTCTCTCACAATTTGCATCAAAATCAGTAAATAGTGAGAGCTTCTCAAATACTCTTTCAGTTTCTCTCTCTGTGTAGAAAATACAGAGTAGAAAACAAAATACATGTATAAATACAAAGGATAATAAATGATGTAGATAATTATGTAGGCTTTTTTGTTTGACTTTTATTTGAATTTTTTTGTTTTTTGGAAAAAAATATTAATTAAGCCATTAAGATGGTCCATAAAAAAGTAAAAAGAAGTAACATGAGAGATAAGCAAGTATTAATTGGTAAGAAATTATTTGTAATGGGTGTTAATATTACTAGAGTAATAAATACATCAAATGTTTTATATAAACAAACTATTACTTAATTATAACTAATTACATTATTTAATCATGATAAATTGATAAAGTTTAATAAGCAATTCTTCATCAAAAAAAAATTTCATTATTCTGGAGATAAAAAGATATTTTAAAAGAGCTTGTCAAATTAATTAACGTCTTGGATTAATATCCAGACATCTATGATTTGTTTGGTTGGAAACAAGTTATTCAAAAATTATAATAATCGTGATGTTTTTTTTAAAAAAAAACATGTCAAAATAATCATAGTCTATGATTAATATTAAGACATTTATGATTTGTTTGGTTAAGAATAAATTATTCGAATACTATATGATCGAAATGTTTAAAAAGAATATGTCAAATTAATTATAGTATTAACTTTCAGACATTTATAATTTATTTGGTTGAGAACAAATTATTTGAACATTTTATAATGATCGAAATGTTTAAAAAGAATATGTCAAATTAATTATAGTATTAACTTTCAGACATTTATAATTTATTTGGTTGAGAACAAATTATTTGAACATTTTATAATGATCAAGATATTTTAGAAGAACTTGTTTAATTAATTGTATATCTTAAAAGAACCTGTCAAATTAATTGTAGTCTTTGCTTAATCAAGACATTTATAGTTCATTTGGTTGACAACAAATTATTTGAAGATTATAATTATGATTGGACTATTTTTTTAAAAATTCAAATTAATTACTTATATTTTTTTATTAATATCAAGACACTTATGATTTATTTGGTTGGAAATAAATTATTTGATGATTATAATAATTGAATTTTTTTAGAAGAATATATTAAACTAATTGTAGTCTTTGGTTAATATAAAGAC